GATAAAAAATTAGGACTCTAACTGTTATATTTTTACAGATTTCCACATATTTTCACAGTCACTCCCACTAAAGTCATACCTTTCATTTTGTCCACAAATGTTCATATGGTTGTTGTAGTTTCATAGATATGTGACTTTTAATACTTATTTTGTATGTAAGATTGACACCACACCACGCCTACTTGAAAGTTGCAAATAAAAAGTAGACTGTAGCTTCTTCCAGACAGTAATACGCTGTAATAATTTCATGGAAAACTGTGCAGCCATTTAACTGGCAACAGACTTCAAAACTCTTTTTTATTCTACAAAAAAATGTGGGCAACAATATTTTGGTCACGCCCATTTCATTGTGTGATTTACGAGTTTTAAGAATTATATTTTGATCACTACATAAAGAAAATTTTATTAAAATCTGCATTAAATTTAACAAATAGAACTAAAACTGTTGTATTGACCATGCCCACGGTTTTACTAAATTACTAAAAAAACAACTAAGAGTTCTATATTCGGCTGTGCCGAATCTTATATGCCCTTCACCATGATTTGTTAAAAAAGGTAGTCATGACCTACAATTATTGCTAAATATCAGAAAGTCACCTTTCATTGATTTTCGTTCAATCACGGTGCTGCGTATGTGTATAAAAAGCAAAGAGTGTACCAGTCATAGAACAACAAAGGTATAAAAAATCGTTTCCTCCAGATTTGTATTAACTTTGGGCTCTTAATGTTTAATTTTATGTTGCTTGGTTCAATATTGGAAAAAAATTCAAAAGGTACTCTTTAAAAAAGGAAAAAGTACCAAAAAGTCCCCTTTTACTTGTTCTCACTTACCCTACATGTTAAATTTCATGTTTCTGAACTCAATATTATAGAAAATTCAAAAAGTACCTTTTGAAGACCGAAAAAGTACCATGAAGTTCCCTTTTATGTGTTCTCACTTAATGTGGCTTTTTCATGCTTAAGTTCATGTTTCTAGGTTCTACATTATAGAAATTTGTAAAAGTACTTTTTGTAGAACGAAAAAGTACCAAAAAGTCCCCTTTTATATGTTCTCGCCTAATCAAGGCCCTACATGCTAAATTTCATGTTTCTAGGTTCTATATTATAGAAAATTCAAAAGATACCTTCTGTAGAACGAAAAAGTACCAAAAAGGCACCTTTTCGACATTCATGGTTAAATCGACTCCGCTATCTATAAGGATATCTAAAACTATCATTTAATCATTTAATAAAATTTGGTGCTGTACAAACATTATTTTAAAAATTTTTACAGCTTAAATAAATTTCAAAGATGTCATTCTTTTAAATCTTTAGTTGTGGCTTCATGTAATAGATTATTTGTTTATTAATAATCGTACATCAACTTAATTTAAATTAAGGTAGTGTATCTCCTTAAAATAAAACATTTAAATAATGTTTATATTTTATACATTTTTCTTATCTCGTTCGTAATTTATTTCTTGTCATCGTTATTACGTTGTAGGGCTTTCTTTATTCTATAAGATGATGGACGGTATTGCTTTCAAGTATTTAAAATGGAAAACAAGTACATAAGTGTGCTATATTCGTTTGTGTCGAGTTTAATACACCCTTTAGGAAAGTGTATTTAAATTTGTTTTTATTTAATAGAAAATATTGATTTTTTAATTTTTTATTAATTTTGTTTTTATCTTTTACTTAATTTATAAATTGTTTAGAAATTTTGCACATATTTTCATTGTACCGATGAAATGATTTTAAATATGAATATTCACGAAAGCATGTCTAATAATATTATTGAAATCTTTGATATCAAGGTATCACACATACAAATGGACGGACAGACAGACGATTATAGCTTAATCGATTCCGCTATTGATTTGGATCCATAATAAATATTCTTTGTATATGATTGGAAAATTATATTGTTGTAATTACAAACGGAATGACAAACTTATTACAATGTAATAAGTATAATTACATATACAAACTTTAAACTTACACTTAAAGAATTTAGAATAGAGTCGGAAGTAAACTTAATAGTATTTGACACAGTTAAATATTAAGGATCAAAAACCGTAGCCTTCACCTTCGTGAAAAAAGGGTATAAGTCATAGTGCTTTAGGTGAAAACCTGCCATTATGACCATATATCTCTCTGGTAGTTTCACCACAACCCCTTTGTGTGGTTCCATCGGACCATGTACAAGCACTTTAATCAACTACTCGAACTATGTATCTAATCCCTGACCATTACTGCCCCGTTGCGTCATCACTTCCGATGACAACCACGCAGATGGTGTGGTCTCTGTTTATTCTGTAACAGCACCTAGAGACGTAATCGGTAGATTGAAATACCAATCCATTAAATAAGTCAAAGACAAGTTCTTCCTGACAGAGAACACACTGTGGTAAGTCTGGTAAGAGCAGAGTAAACCCTGAATATAAATTGACAAGGAAGTGAAATTCAATGATGATCATCATTCAACCCATCACATGTCTAATTTATCTGACACGTTCATTGAGAAAAACATCTGAATCATTCACTCTGGATATACGGGAAGCAAGTGAGGCCGGGAGTGAGATTTTTTAGTATAAGATTCACATAAAAATTATTATATGATAAGTATAACCCAAATGAAGTTCTTCTTAATCTGAAATTTTATTTTTATAAAAATTTTATTGAAATTCATATAAAAAATTATTCGGCTATGCCGAATCTTATATACCCACCATCAAACCACCATCCGTAAAAAGAATGTTCCGCTATAACATCAGGGTGATATTTGGAATGGCCCAAAAATACTCTACAAAAATTTTAAGACTATTTTTCCGTAATCTTTTCAAGATTACTTAGGTAGGGATTTCCATTCCAAAAAAAAATATTTTTTATTTTTCTCGTGTTCAGTACATTAATACGCATCGCAGTTCCTCGGGACACTCTAATGAATATACATATGTATATGGACGGTTGGGGCAATTATACACCGATTGTCATAAAATTTGGTGCATACATAGATTTCGGTTCATATAGCACTTATTTGTTTCGAATTTCATCGCTGTACTCGTATTTTTAATTCAGTCATGAGCGTTTATATCGAATTTCATCCCTGTACTCGCACTTTTATTCCAGTACTTAGTATTAATGTAATTTTCTGAAGGGGGGCTTTATATGGGAAGTCAATTATGGACCGATCCTCATAAAATTTGGTAGACAGATTTGGTATCGTTTAAATTTATTTGTCTTGAGTTGTGATATAGTCGTACTTTTATGCCAGTAATAAGCGTTAAAGTCATTTTCTAAGGCGACCTTATATAGGGGGTAGGATCAGTTATGGACCGATCCTCAAAAAATTAGTTTAAGAGATGTTTGCTCGTAAGAATTTCATCGCTATTCTCGCATTTTTTATACAGTAATGGGCGTTAAAGTCATTTTCTGAAGGGAAACTCATAGGGAGGGTAGGCTTAATTATGGACCGATTCACAAAAATTTTGTTTGAGAGATTTTTTTCTCGTAAGAAACTACTTTATATCGAATTTCATAGCTATGCTCGTATTTTTTTCCAGTAATCAGCGTTAAAGTCATTTTCTAAGGGGAACTTATATGGGGAGTAGGATCAATTATGGACCGATTCCCATAAAATTTGGTACAGAGAGTTTGGCTCGTAGGAAACTTACCATTTCATCGCTATATTCGTGTTTTTAGCCAGTAATAAGCGTTAAAGTAGTTTTCTGAAGGAGACCTTATATGGGGGGTAAGGTCAAATATGAACCGATCTTCATAAAATTTGGAACAGAGATTTTGGCTTGTAGGAAACTTACCATTTCATCGCTATACTCGTGTTTTTTTTTAGCCAGTAATGAGTGTTAAAGTAGTAAGGGGATCTTGTATGGGTGTAGGGTCAATTATAGACCGATTTTCATTTAATTTGGTACATAGATTTTGGTTCTTAGGAAACTTACAACATATGCCTTAATTTCATTGTTATACTCTTATTTTTAAAACAGTTATGTCTGTTAAAGCTATTTTTCGGGAGCCGCTTGTATGGAGACTATGTGAAAAAGTTGACTGAGATAGCTCATTTTCAATACCAAACAAACCTATAGGGAATACCTATAGGAAATATTTGAGTAAAATTTTAACGCTCTAGCTCTTTCCGTTCGGCCTCTATCGTGTTTGCAACAGACAGATGGACGGACATTACTCGATCATCTTAGAATAAGGATCCATAATATGTATATACTTTTTTGGTCTAGGACCAATATTTCGATGTGTTACAAATGGAATGATAAAAACAATATATCCCCATGTTTTTTGATGTTGGGTATAAAAATAAGGAAACTTACATGTTAATAATTAGCTTGAGAAAACAATAAAAAGCTTTATGGATTTAATAATACTAAATGCATGATTCTACAGTGCAAATTTTATGTTAAGCCGATTTTATCGATTGTAGGTGACATGCAATGATCACATGCGTGATGTAAATTAATCATTGATAGTAAATGTATGCATATATTTCACAAATTGTGATTTACAGTGAGTCATTAGTGCAATTTTTTGCTAAACAAATTCGAAAACATATGAGATGAGTATGAAGGTATTTTGAACTAACTTTTGTTTTCAAATCAATAATAGGCCGATCGATCGGATGGCGATCCTCATATATTCTTCAAATGAATTTCATCATGAATCATGATACAAGTGTTTATAAGTAAATTAGTGTTTAAAGTCAAATGAGACCCGATTATAATCGGATGTATAGAGAGCTAGGTGATAATCGTTGAAATCGGTATACCAAAGTGATGCTGATTTGACACTTTAGTGTGTAACATAATCAACACAACCACATAATAGTTCGAAACAAATAATAATAATAATATTCAGATTAAATATATAATAACAACTGATCTACAATACTGTAAACAAATGTAATTAAGAAATTTGTTTTATATTCAACAAGCTTAATTACTTAAAGCAGCAAACAATAGTTTGAAAAATCTTTCATTTAAAATTTTTTTCAAATAGATTTCTACAGTCTAAATCAATAGACGAAACGTAACAGACATGCTTCCTTTAACGGCAACTTATTACGATCCTCAACAAAAACTCTGGTCGGGACCGGTGAAAAAAGATTTATATAATGAAAATATAACATTGGGTGAAGTGATATTCCTAGAATTGTCTAAACATCCACAAAAACTAATACAAATCAATGATTCGACAAATGAAGAAATGAAGGCCGAGGAATTTCTCGATCATGTTATGGCTTTGAGTAAAAATTTATTGAAATTGGGCCTTAAGGTGGGCGATGTTGTGGGTATGTATGCCAATAATGCTACACATACAGCAACGGTAATGGTGGCCGCCTATTTGTGTGGTACTCCGGTTAATGCTTTATATCCTGGTTTCGATAAAGGTAGTGCAAATTATATTTGATGAATCCATATTGACCTATTTTATCCTCTTCCAGATAGCGCTGAACTAATTTATAAAGTTACTAGACCTAAAATTATATTTTGTGATGTTGAAAATTATGAAATTGCTGCAAAAGTTAACCAGGATTTACAGTTGAATGCACCCATATTTATAATGAATGGGGAAGTTAAGGGAGTGTCCAGTATATTGAGTTTGGTGAAACCGAATATAAAGTTTCGGAATGAACCTTTTGTGTGAGTAATTTTTATAGCACTCTGGTGGTGAGGATATTATGCGTTTGTGCTGATGTTGGTAACTCCCAAAAATGTCGGCCCTACATCCAACATATTAATACCAAGCGGATATTTTTGTCAGTTACAAATATCAACACACAACCAATATACCGATCCCACTAAAGTGATTTAAGGTATAAAAATTTGACCCCAGGATCTGAGAATGGTTTATTTGTCTGATAATGGTTTTATTTGTTCTCCATACAAATGGGCCACCTACAAACTTAACATATTTTCCCTCTTTAGATATCCGTGCGTTAACTTAAAGGGCGATGATACCGCCGTCATTTTATGTTCATCTGGTACCACTGGTATACCTAAGGGAGTGCTCTGTTCTCATAGGGCGTTACTTAATGAAAAAATTCAGTATGTAAACAGTTTGTACTTTTCAAAACGAATGTCCCTATTAATTACTATTCTCCTTGAAATCTAGCTTTAATTTAAAATCTGATTCAGTGGTGTGTACTTTTAGTACCATGTATTGGGCTTCCGGGCTTTGGAACATGAATGCTTCTTTAATAACTTGTTGTTTGCGAATTATTACCGATAAATCATTTACAGCGGAATATTTTCTACAGCTGATCGAACGTCATCGAATCACTAATATGCTGACCAATGGCAATCATATGGTTGAATTGATAATGTACGATGATGTGTCAAAAATACAAAAATGTTTGGCTAGTCTAGATACATTAACGCTGGGTGGTGCTAAAGTACTTCTTACTGTACAGGAATCATTGGCCGATATATTGAAAGTAAATGATAAACGTCCTGGTTTTGGTGTAGCCTATGGGATGTCGGAACTTTCAGGTATACTTTCGTTTAATAGTGATTTTCCCTATGAACGTAAACTGGGTACTGAGGGTAAATTAACGGCTAACAAGAAAGTACGTATAATCAATAAGAAAGGTGAATTTTTGGGACCCAATGAGCATGGTGAAATAATTATCAAAACACCTTACAAATGGTTTGGTTACTACCGCAATGAAGAAGCCTCCAAGAAGGCTTACATAGATAATTGGTTACATTCCGGCGATATTGGTTTCTTTGATGACGAAGGTTTCTTGCATGTGTGCGCTCGTGATAATGATGTTTTTAAAGCTCGTAATTTTCAAATCTATCCACCGCTTATTGAAGACGTTGTTATGGAAGTAGCTGGTGTCTTGGAGGCCTGTGTTTTTGGTATACCCGATTTGATGGCTTCACATTTAATCACCTGCGCTGTGGTAAGAACTGCGGACGATATTGGTCGCAAATTAACGGCTAAGGAAATTATTTCCCACGTCGAAAAGAAAATGGGCAATATGTATCATTTATCGGGTGGTGTTTACTTTCTAGATGCCATACCCAAAACCGGTTCGGGTAAAGTACAAAGAGCCAAAGTTGTAGATATTGTGTTGAAAATTAAGGATAAACAAATGTGAAATGTGAATAAATTTTGTAATTAATATGTACTTAGTTTATAGATATTAAATGTTTAATAAAGGTATAATTAGTTAAATAAAATAGTACTAAATATTTTGATCGGAAGAAATTGTAATATTATTACCATTTATTCATTACCAAGTAAGTGGCCAAAATATTAAAATTTACTTATACAATAATATTTTATAAGTACTTATTTTATTAGAATTAGATCTTTGGAGGCAAGAACTTGTCTCAATTGTTGAAGGCAAGCGTCTTGTCTTAGAAGATCCTTCCACGCCGCTACAGAAATATTTCCAAGATTTGAGTTTTACATTTCTGAACAGTTGTTTAATCCTGTTCATTGAAGCTTTATACTTCGACCTGTTACCTAGTCGTTTGGCCACGTTGAATAATCCGAGACACTCTATGTCTTGACTTACAGACCCTAAGTCTTTAAGATTTCGAGATTGTTCTGCAAACGCATTTGTAATTACGTTGGTAGCATTTTCAATATCTGACAAATTTGGATATTCTGTGGTTGCTGAAGGAGGTTGCACATGATATCATGTTGTCTTACCCAATCCATTCTTTTACTATTTCGAATACGAATAGTCTTCGTTTTCCTGATCTCTATTATAAAGTCAATGTACATATGGTCATAGATGGAGCAGTCTTTTGAAACCCTCCATACTCTGATCATGTTAAAATGTTTAGAACTAACTATCGTGATGTCCAAAACCTCACTTCTATTTGTCAAAGAATGGTAGGTTCTGAACCTGTATTTACTACATCAATACCATTGTTAAAGTTAAAAATATGGGCAAATTTTCAATGTTTGCCCTTTTTATTATGTCACAAACCTTTTTTTTGGCGGTGGTTCGCAGTAGTATTGGTCCATGTAACTGGAGACCACTACACAGTGGGGCAGAATGGAAATTTTTTGGAAATAAATCTGGCATTTCTAAACGGCTGATCCGATCGGGATAAAATTTGGCGTGAGCGTAGCCAAGGAGTATTCGAGTTTAAGTTTTGAAGATGAACCCTGCAGATGCCCCAGGGACGGCGCTGTGGCGGCTCAAAGTAGGGTACCTACGACATGTAAAATTTTTAAACTCGTGCCATTTCTTTGTTTTTCACCCAAATACAAAGATTGTATATTTATTATATTATATTTTGTGAAAGCGCTCGACGAGATCTTGAAAAAACATGCTTGGACATACTACTTATCTCTTATAATATCCGAGTTATAGGCATTTAAAAATTTAGTGATACAAAATTTACCATACCTTGGTCCGCCTTTTTTTGAATACCGGACGTAATTTTGGATCAAATGGACTCAATTTTTTCTTGTTAGTTAGACAACAAAATTTCCAATAATATACAAAAAATTTGAGATCAATATCATTTACAGATCCAAAAATATAAGTTTTTTAATTTAAAAATTCAAAAAATTTTAGATTTTTGGCGTTTTTTTGCCAAAAATGTGTCTTAACTCTTTTATTAATAAAATAAAATTTTTATTAAGAACATATAACAATTTTATAGTTTTCTAAAAGGTATCTTTACGCAGAACGCTTTGGCGTAAAAAACTTGTCATATTTTTTGAAAATGTTGCCACTACGTCCTTCCGAATATGACCTATTTTTTATCAAAACTTCAACTTTGGGCGACATGTTCTAAAATCCCAAAGCTGGGATCAGAAAACTGAAAGCAGTTTTGGAAACCTCAATATGTTTTCTATTTACTCCAAAAGTATTTTCCCAGCCCTGAAAGAAATGTGGACCCTATGGGCAAAAAAGTAAAAAATCCCATTTTTGGGATTTTCATTCCTATTTTTGGGAATTGCGGGATGCCCTTTGACCTTTTTTTTTTTGCATATTCTTATTTGAAATGACAAATTTAACAAGCGTTGAAAATTTCATTGAGTTTTGTTCATAAATAAAGATTTTGTCATATATTACATATTTGTTTAATTTCTAAAACTATGATTTATATCAAAATTTTAATAGGATCGCAGATAGCTACAACAATTTAGTCCATATTTATCCCTTAATATCATTTTTTAGTTAGATATGGAAATTCTCGACCCTTTACAAAAAATTTCAAGCCAATATCTCAATTACATTCAAAAATATGTTCATTTAAACCTGTGTCCTTTAATTTCATCTTTTTCATATTTTAGTATTAAGTATGACAGCACATATTTAAATCTTATATTTACCTATTTTCTATTTGTTTGCTTATCCTTATAATGCTTATGCTTAAATTTTCAAAAATTTATAACTATTTTTTACCTAAATTTTTTCAACAGATCATTTCGTTCTGTTTCGTTTATGATCATGTAGGTAAAAATATACAGGTAATGATAATTTCGATTCATTCACTAATAAGAAATATCAATGACTGAATTACAGGTTATAGTAATATAGTCCTAAATGTTAATAGGTAGACAATTCGTAATTTTTACTTTGGAATACCTGTATCGGAAATGACAAGAATTGGTATATAAGTAAACTTCTCAGATTTTAAGTACCATATTTAATAAATCTACAATGAAGATTACATTAAAGTACGAAGAGTTGTGTTCCGTTTTATGGGGTATATCTTCAAAAGGGCCAGAAAGAATTGAAGACATTTCAAATTATATAAAAACTACATATAGTAGAAAAGTAGACAAAACAGGCATATCAAAAATTGAAAACTTTTTGATGTAAAAAGTAAGTCTGTGGATGGAAATCAAAAGAAATTTCGATTAAAATTTTGTAGTTGGATGGAAACTACTACGGAAATCTCAACTTACAACACATCAATAGGAGCGCCTTGCAAGTCATACGAAGACTTATGTTCAAGGTAAAAAAAAGAGGGTCACACAAAAACTTTTTTCAATCTCAAATGAGGAAATTGCTGATACATTTAACGAAATGCTGAAAAAGGAAAACCAACATATGGATGTCGTACATATTGCAACTATTCTTCCTAATGCATCACCAAAACGACTTAAGCGAATTGTGGAAAGTATACCAACTCCAACATCATAATCAAATTTTACTGAAGAGGAAGCAATAGCGCTTATGTTGGAACTGGGTCTCAGTCGAAATAAGTACCAAATATTAAGGAAAGCTCTGCATGAAAAAGGACACAATATATTACCATCATACAAGGCGATCCAGGAAAAAAAAAACAAACTATCCTACTAAATCAACAAAAAATAATGAAGAATTGAAAGAACTGAGAGCTGCGGAAAAAAGCAGAATCCAAGAAGAATTTAAAGTCAGATGGGATTAAACATCGACAAACCACTTTCAAGTTGAGGTAGTACAAATGACGGTAATATGTCGAGAAGGTTTTTTCGTGATTTTGAAATTACTTCAAAAATAACTGGAATCGACAAGGAGTTGCTTCGAAGAGTTAAAACTATTTTAATGGCACTGAATAGTAAACATAAAATTAATGAAAATCGATTTGGAGAATACACATCTGAAATTTCTAAATTACTTGTATCTCTGTATCCATGGAGGGAACTAACACCAACAGTACACAAAGTATTGTGTCATGGTCAAATAATAATTGAATCGAATATTCTTCCACTTGGAGAGTTAACAGAAGAAGCCCAGGAAGCGAGGAATCGAGATTTTAAGCATGTTCAACTATTCAGCTCAAGAAAATGCTACAGGCAATCACAGAATGAAGATATTTTTAATAGTTTACTTCTATCTTCTGATCCTGTTCTTTCAACTATGCGAAAAAGATGGATTTGTTATGAAACTCTATCATCTCAAAACAAGAAAGATTTAAAGGATTTATATTACCTTCTGGATATGTATACCGATATGACAGATTATTTTATAGAAAATAAGTAGTGTTAGGAATTAACTATATAAGTAGGTTGTAAGAATTAATTGTATTATGTTTAAGATAAACAGTTCAAATAAAAAAAGCTATTATACTAACTAATGATATTGTATTAAATTGTGTTTTATATTTCGGTGGGCGGGAAAGGTAATTTGTGTGGGGTGATCTAGGTTTTGTTGTGCGTGGCTCATAATAAAATTATAATTTTTTTTATTTTATATACAATATTATAATAAAATAATTAACTAAATAATTTTTAAAAATTGTCCAAATATTTTATTCAACACCAAATGTATGTTCTGTCATACTTAATACTAAAATATGAAAAAGATGAAATTAAAGGACACAGGTTTAAATGAACATATTTTTGAATGTAATTGAGATATTGGCTTGAAATTTTTTGTAAAGGGTCGAGAACTTCCATATCTAACTAAGAAATGATATTAAGGGATAAATATGGACTAAATTGTTGTAGCTATCTGCGATCCTATTAAAATTTTGATATAAATCATAGTTTTAGAAATTAAACAAATATGTAATATATGACAAAATCTTTATTTATGAACAAAACTCAATGAAATTTTCAACGCTTGTTAAATTTGTCATTTCAAATAAGAATATGCAAAAAAAAAAATTGAAAAGGTCAAAGGGCATCCCGCAATTCCCAAAAATAGGAATGAAAATCCCAAAAATGGGATTTTTTACTTTTTTGCCCATAGGGTCCACATTTCTTTCAGGGCTGGGAAAATACTTTTGGAGTAAATAGAAAACATATTGAGGTTTCCAAAACTGCTTTCAGTTTTCTGATCCTAGCTTTGGGATTTTAGAACATGTCGCCCAAAGTTGAAGTTTTGATAAAAAATAGGTCATATTCGGAAGGACGCAGTGGCAACATTTTCAAAAAATAGGACAAGTTTTTTACGCCAAAGCGTTCTGCGTAAAGATACCTTTTAGAAAACTATAAAATTGTTATATGTTCTTAATAAAAATTTTATTTTATTAATAAAAGAGTTAAGACACATTTTTGGCAAAAAAAACGCCAAAAATCTAAAATTTTTTGAATTTTTCAATTAAAAAACGTATATTTTTGGATCTGTAAACGATATTGATCTGAAATTTTTTGTATATTATTGGAAATTTTGTTGTCTAACTAACAAGAAAAAATTGAGTCCATTTGGTCCAAAATTACGCCCGGTATTCAAAAAAAGGCGGACCAAGGTATGGTAAATTTTGTATCACTAAATTTTTAAATGCCTATAACTCGGATATTATAAGAGATAAGTAGTATGTCCAAGCATGTTTTTTCAAGATCTCGTCGAGCGCTTTCACAAAATATAAAAATCTTTGTATTTGGGTGAAAAACAAAAAAATGGCACGAGTTTAAAAATTTTACATGTCGTAGGTACCCTACTTTGAGCCGCCACAGCGCCGTCCCTGGGGCATCTGCAGGGTTCATCTTCAAAACTTAAACTCGAATACTCCTTGGCTACGCTCACGCCAAATTTTATCCCGATCGGATCAGCCGTTTAGAAATGCCAGATTTATTTCCAAAAAATTTCCATTCTGCCCCACTGTGCACTAATAAGGTACCACAACTAGTGCCCCACGCCATAACAGTGTCTTCATCTCTGTAATCAGAAAGGATGAAGACTTTTAGGTTGGTTTTGGCATATCATATATCATCCTCAGATAGGTCCGTTAGGTCAACATAGCAAATTAAATATATCATCGGCTAGGGCAGGGCATTGACAGGGGTAGTGAGTGACATACTCTTCATCTTTCTTGACCTTACAGCTCCTGAAGTAGTCATTACTGGGTAAGTTTAGTCTTCTAGCCCGAAAGGCAAGTGGCCGGTCCCCACTGCAATCAAGTTCCATAGATTTACTTTAGGAACGTGAAGTCTCTGTACACAATGGTATTGCCAGGTGTCAGTTGATGACCTGGAATAAAGTACAGTTGTATTGCGGAAAGTTTCGCCATCTCATTTAGGGATGCCCATCTAGGCCCATTCTGGAACCATGTTCAATGTTGTGTAAATATTACTTATAGTCCTCAGGACTGCCTGGCTATTCAGCTTCCGTTTCAGTATGTGCTAATTAGAATCCACATACTATCCTATACCATATTTTGTTTTGGGGCCATCGGCGAAAACCTTATAAGATCTATCGCGCATAATTGATTCCATCACATTCAAATCATGTTCAATCGAGTCTAACAATTGTCTTAAGTCTAATTGCTGAAGGTATTAATATGGTTCAAAATTCTTAAAATCGGTTACAAATTTTATATAACTCCCATACAAATTTACACACTTCAGGAAAATGGTTTTATTGTTAATAACTCCTTCTGCGATATTAGTATTACCACAAAATTTTGCACATATAAATCTAATATCATTAAAATTTGTATTACCAACTAAAATCTAGATCGATATATAATTGATAGCCCCATATAAGGTACACTTCCAAAAATTAATTAATAATATATAGCCATATCGGGACAAAATTTAATACGAACATGTACATACACAAATTATTTAGTGAAATTTTTTCCCCCATGTTCAGCGAACTTTCTTCCAGAATAACCCATAATTGGTCATAGCTTAGATATATAAAGTCAACTTCCGAAAATTATTTAATCGTAAAAAACTCATGATAATGCTATCGGAAGAAAATTATACTTGCATAGAGTTTGTATATATACAAGTCATGCAATGAAAGCTTTTCCCCATCGGCATAATGTTGATCAAAGCTTGAACTATTGATTAAACTAGAAATGAAATAGAACTGAATTGAACTTGAACTGAACTAGAACTGAACTAGAACTGAACTAGAACTGAACTAGAACTGAACTAGAATTGAACTAGAACTGAACTAGAACTGAACTAGAACTGAACTAGAACTGAACTAGAACTGAAGTAGAATTGAACTAGAACTGTACAAATGTAAATCGTTCTGTGACACATTTTCTAGATCGGTCTATTTCTCTAAGTGTATTAACTAATTTATGCAAGATTTTCTTAATATGTAAGAAAAAATAATATTAAGTCAGATTAAATAATAACATTAACAACTGATCTACGCAAATGAATACAAATCTAACTAAGTATTTTGCAAACAAACATTTATATCATTTCGAACTTACCCAGCAGTTCTAGATGACGGAGAGTAGATTTTTATTTTAATTTGGGAATTTCAAAGATAACAAGGTTTAATTGATTTGTAGTGTTATAGTCTTTTAACATAGAGTTCGTGGATTCGACTCTGGTGTTGGAGCGCACAATAGGAAAGTTGAAATCAAGTGGTGCTTGTTTACCCGCTGATTAATGTGATAAATATTCCGTTTAGTACTCTTTCAATTGCAGAAAATCCATTAGTGGTATAACACAATATATATAAATTAGATCCATACAGATTAGGAACTCTGGACTCCTCCAGATCCCCTAGATAGCTTGTCAACGTAATATCTATTTGTCTACTCTATAAGGGGTAACTTGACTACTTGTTAAACTGTCGGGTGCATAAAAAACTAATAAAAAACAAACACATATGTATGTACATTCATAAAGGCAGATAATTCAAAAGATTTTCAATAAAAATTTGTTCAACAGATTCCAGCAGTCAAGTTCAATATTCAAAACGAGACGGTCATGTTTCCCTTAACGGCTACATATTACAATCCTCAGAAAAAACTCTGGTCCGGACCAGAGAAAAAAGATTTATATAATGAAAATATGACTCTGGGTGAAGTAACGTACTTGGAGTTGGTTAAAAATCCACTAAAAGTTATACAAATCAATGATTCGACGCAGGAACAAATGACAGCCCAAGAATTTCTTCTGCATGTAACGGCTTTGAGTAAAAATTTATTAAAAATGGGCCTTAAAGCAGGCGATGTTGTGGGTATGTATGCCCACAATGCTACCCATACAGCAACGATTATGATGGCTGCCTATTTGTGTGGTACTCCGGTAAATGCTCTTTATCCTGGTTTCGATAAAGGTAATGGAAAAATTTGTTTATATTAAAGGTTTTGATTTAAGTTTTTTTGCTTTTTTGATTCCCCAGATAATGTGCAATTAATCTATAAAGTTACTACACCCAAAATTATATTTTGTGATGTAGAAAATTACGAAATTACTTTCAAGGTTTGTAAGGATTTAAATTTGAAAGTTCCAATTTATATATTAAATGGTGAAATCAAGGGAGTGCCCAGTATATTGAGTTTAGTGAAATCGGAAACCGAGTGTTTAAATGAGCCTTTCGAGTGAGTAATGTTTTTAGTTTAAAGCTTTTTTCCGAAACTTGAAAAACTAAAGATTTAATTTGATCTTTCTAAACTCGTCTCAATTTATATCTATTCTGAAGTAGAGTGGTTCAGAAAAACACTAAAATTCCAATTCTAAATTTCCTTATTTTTCAGATTTCCCTGCGTTAACTTAAAAGGTGATGATACTGCCATCATTTTATGCTCATCTGGTACCACTGGAACACCTAAAGGTGTACTCTGTTCTCATCGGGCGTTACTTAATCAACCTATTTAGTATGTTAACCTAGATGTGACCTTAATAAGTTTTATCTTTATTAATTAATTTTCTCATTTTTCAGTCTTAACATTAAATCTGATTCAGTAGTGTGCACTTTAAGTACCATGTATTGGGCTTCTGGACTTTGGAACTTAAATGCTTCTTTAATAAATTGCTGTTTAAGAATTATTACTGATAAACCATTTACACCTGAATACTTTCTACAGTTGGTTGAACGTCATCAGATCACTCATATGATAACGAATGGTAGTCATATGGCTGAACTGGTGATGTACGATGATGTGGCAAAAATACAAAAATCTCTGGCTAGTATTGATACATTTGTGGTGGGTGGATCCAAAGTGCCATTGATAGTACAGGAAAAAATGACAGATATAATGAAAGTAAACGATAAACGTCCTGGCTTTGGTGTGGCCTATGGTATGTCTGAGTTATCGGGTATGCTTTCATTTAATGGTGGTTATCTGTTTGAGCAAAAAATGGGATCAGAGGGTAAATTAACCGCCAATAAGCAAGTACGCATCATCAGTAAAGAAGGCGATTTTCTGGGACCCAGTGAACATGGTGAAATAATTATCTCTACACCCCATACCTGGTTTGGTTACTATCGCAATGAGGACGCCTACAAAAAAGCTTACAAAGACAATTGGTTATATACGGGTGATATTGGTTTCTTTGATGACGATGGTTTCC